GGGACGCCGCGGTGGGAACCCAGCGACTAACAGCTTGAGCTATGGCACGGCCTCCAGTGCCACTAAATTAAGAGACGAATAGTCTCCGAACTCCGACCTATGTCGCTTACTTTGCAAAACCATTTACATATAAGCAAAACCTTAGGTGAAGTACGAGTATTTAAAGAATTACCTCAATAACTATATATATATATCTGCTTGTATAATACACAAGTATCAAAATATCTGTATATGTACCTCAATAATAATATATCTACGATACACATGTATCAATATATCTATATTTATATTTTCAAGTCCATTATAAGACGAATTAATATTAGAATTTCGAATAAGAACTTAAAAGTGTTGAGCAAACGTTCTTACATAAGCCATTCTTCTTCTCACGCATTCAGATATTCAAATGGTGATGATGAAATGAGTCTTTAATTTCGTTCGAATTTCTAATTGGTCTTACTGAATGATATCACGTGAGATACTTCTCAGGAAGAGTGGTAAGGGGGAGAAGAGAAATGGAAAAGAATTTTAAGTGGAAATTTGAATTTCTTCTGGTCTTCCTTTTATACCTTTCATCTGTTCTCCTCCAAGGATTATTTTGTGTCCTCCCACGAAACTCATCCTACGTGGATTTGGATCGAAACGGTGACTCGCACCTCTACTCTCTTGACGTCACTCAATCAGGGCGTCCTAGGAACTCAGAAGGCCCTAACTCGAACAGTATCTCTAAATCAGTGTGTCACAAGAAACGAAAATATAGCCGTATTAGTTAAATTCTGTTTGTCTTGTGGTGATATTAAGGTGTTCTGAAGAGCTGTTAACTTTCTCAGGAATTTTTCTTGGATTTAGAATCATTCTGCCCAATTCTTTTCCTTCCTAGGGTGTTCCTAGAGAGTCTGTCTCCATTTAGTCTTCCTCCTTGTTTCTGTTATAACTTGTTATGGAGTTTGATTTTCCTTCCAGCTTTCGTTCCTCTGTATAATTTCTGATTGTCCTTTTCTAAGGACTGTTTAGACTCCTTTGTTTCTTTTTATCTTTGCCGGTTGTGTTTTCTTTGAATATCCTTCTTTTACTGTCCTATTCCTTCTCTACCTCGGTACGTTTCCTGTACCATATTCGCATGATATGACCTCCACGGCAATGTGTTGGTGTAGCGGATGCAACTCGTAATCTTGGGCCACGAGAACGCTTCCTGTGACATCGTTCTCAATTTATAATTACAATCATTCTTACCTCTGTAACTGAGGACATATCCTAAATAAACTGAAAAGCATATAAATATACTACCATCAGTGACTCGCAATTGTTGTTACAAAGTCATTTTTGTTTATTTCTTTCCCAATGTGTAGTACACAGCATATCAAGTTCTGGCTTTTTAAGTTAACGCTTTTTATCGCCAACTCACCCCAACCCTTGTTTTCACCCCTTCGGGGATGAGAAGGGTTTAATCCATTGGAATCAGTGGTGGTAGTAACAGCAGCAACCCTTGGCATGTTTGTTTTCCTTGATATTAGTCCCCTAACCCAACACTCATCCCTCGCATTTGGAAGTAATCGGGCACTTTTTTAAAGCTGAGAGCATGGCTTACGTTTTAGTAGAAAAGTTGGTGCTCCCCTTTCCGTATCTTAACGATACATCGCGTGTTTCATGGGTGGATAACTAGAAGTGTGAATGACTGACCGCCCGTCTTTAGCCATTTCTTCGTCTGGGTAAAGCTAGAAGTTTTTACGTGTGTATGTAAACAATTAGGGATGTGCCCGCAAGCTTCTTTTGCAGGGCAAAAATATAGTATGAAAAGTTCTATCAAGTGTTCTATATTTATAAAATAAAATACTTAAAATGAGTTTAATAACTTATTAACAACTGTTCTAGGGTTATGTTATGAGCAGAATAAATTCAGGAAATTCGAAATATCCTTCCAAGGCTGTTTTATGCTCGCTTACTTCTCCAGAAGTCTAAAAGCAATATGTCAGGGACAAAGGAATGTCGCATATATTATTTTGGTACGAAATTCTGGTCACAAACAGCCACCAATAACTACTGCGCAGGCGGGAATAAATGAAGGTAGGTGTGACGGTGTGAACTTGATTGAACCGCCTTCAGATGGGCTTGGGTAGCCTCATATTGAGCTGGTAGTGATAAATATTCAGGTACCATAAGGGCAAATAATTTATTGAACTGTTGAATAAACGTCATGCCTTGAGGTCCCTTAGTGGGTATGTAATATGAACAGAGTTATACTTCCTAGATGAGAAAAATAAAGATGCACAGATTTTTATTGTACATTTGTATGCCACTGCAGAGACAGGAGCTCAAAGTACAAAGATAAAACGGAAAGATTGTAGAGTGCAATTCGATTTTGTAACAAGTTATGTTCCCATTAAACTTAACTGAAACCAGTAACAGCCAATATATTGTAAGCCATGTGAGGAGCAAATGCCTCATTCATAATACGCTTCAGGCTTGATGAATATACGTTTGAATGAATTCCAACATGTCACCAGGTAGAGGAAATTAGAATGTGGTAGCACCAGACAGCAGTTGCGGCAGGTTCTTAGTGTTTAGACTTACTGTCCATAACAATGTTTCTTGTATGCTGAAGAACTTCACTGAATGCTGTGTTTCCATAAGAGAGTGCTCATATTGCTTGGAGATTGATGACCGTCGTTTGATTCCAAAAGTTGAACCTTTTCACACAAATTTTAATGGAGAGTTATGTTACTATATTTTCACGGAAATGTTTAATTTAAGTTGTTAGAACAACCGTGTAATCGGTTGTTGCGGTTCTTGATGGTTAAAAAACATCAGAATATTCAGACTAGAAGTCTTATTGTTTCTAAGCGATATATCTTTGCATGGAAAAAGTTAACAATGTAATAATTAAAGTAATTAGAATTAGGTGTTGTCGAAGTTATTCACTCGAACTGAAACTAATTTAATTTAACGAAAGTGTAATGGAAAAAAAAGCTTAAAGGAACAAAGAAAATATATGTTCATATAAGTATTTAAGCATATAGAGTCTTGAATTTGAGAAGTATACGTTTTATATAGTTCTGAAATGTAGTCTCTTAGTTTGAGAAAATAATATACATTACAAATATTTTAAAAGAAATTCTTCTACATAATATCCGAATCTAACATGGATTAAGTGTGTGATATATGTTGCTTCTTGGTTTATGCACGTCTCCGGTTGTTTTTAGCGTAATGAAATAAATATACAAAGTAGCTGGGCATGCTAGTCGGATTGAGGAGACAAACCTGTACCAAATTTGTGGGGAAAATCTCTTGATACGCGGCTACTGGCTATTTCAGGACCAGTCACGGGGTTACTCTTCCCCAATTGTTTTCTGTCACAACAATGTCACTCTTGTTACGTGATTGAAGGTTTGAATATTTCTGTATGATGAAAGGACGTATGTTCAAGACGTAGCAAACCTTTCTTTTCCGGTGAAATTGAGACGTGGGCACGGGAAATGGTAAAACATGAAATAGCGACAGAAGAGATCTAGGTTTAAGGATGTTTCATTGCTTAAAAAGCGTGGGTGAAAGGTTTAGGAAGGTTGAAAAGGAGATTTGATAACATTCTTATGAGTGGTCTCGGGGGAATAAAGTTGTGTGGGTGAGCAGTGGAAGAAACATGCTCAGTCTCGAGTCCACTGATGGATTTTGGTGACGGTGGTGTTGGAATTTTCCGTTCTATTTATACGTACATAGTCAAGTCGGTCATTCAGATGAATCGTACCGCAAGGTATCTCGAAAATATGAATCAAATAGTGAAGTCTTTAATATGATCAATCTGAGCTTTTTAGTTTCAACTTTCGACATCCAGAATCTTAGAAGTAAAATATTGACCTGACTTCTGGCAGTTGTTTCTCGCCTCTTGTGAGACTTTTCGTGACGATCTGTACAGGCTAGTTCCAGACTTTGTAGAGACGTTTACACAATGATCATGATCTATACTGATTGCCGACAGTCTATCTTGATTTCAGTTTCGTGAAATCATTTTACTAATTGACACTACATAGAGCTGAGGTAGTTCATTAAATCCATCCGGTGAAATTCTCCGCAAGATCCACTTGGATTTATTCTCCTGCATGCAAGGGGATTAACTCAGGAATTTCATAAACTATGTCTCACAAGACCTGCAACAAGATAGGTTTATGGACGTTACTTGTAGTTCTGGTATTCTTCTACACTTTATAATTGGAATTAATTGAGTGAAATATAATTTTGCATATTAACATAAATAATGTGGCGCTTTACGTATTTTAAATATATCTGTTTTGTGGCAGGTTAATTTTATCCTTTGCAGATTAACACAGAGCTAACGTAAGGATCGTTGGAATTTGTAAAATATTGCAATTTTTCTCACCAACTAACTTCATTTTGGTTATGCTTTAAGTAAAGCCTGTTAAAATAAGAAATGTTAGCTGTTAAGTTCACTCTTCATAGGTTTCTTATGGTACCAAGACTATGTATTTTTCAGTTTTATTCATGTCTCTTTCAGCGAGGGAATTTCATAACTGAGCCGTAACTTAACGATTTAAACAACGATAAAATGATAACAGACAGATAATTCAGAAATAATGTGCTGTCAAATGATTAAGTATGTATCGTATTATCACGAAAGATAGGATATAATAAATGCTGAAATTGCAATCAATATTGAGATAGTCCTTAAGGTAAATTTATCTTCAATGACTTATGTGCTAATGTGTTTACTTACACACTGTCTAATAGTTAAGTATTTCTTTAATACTACGATGTATATAGGTATTTATGTTCAATATTAAGAGATTTTTAATATAAACTTAAGGTATTTATAAAGGTCACGCCATGACACTGCGTTTATAGATAGGGCCTAACACCTGCCAAATGGTTAAGGATTTATAAATAGGATAGATAAAAGCAATACAATATTGAAGCTGAAATAAATATTTAAATATTTTTCAATACAAGAAGCAATTATAATTAAGACGAGAATTGATCTTGGCCCTCTACAGATCTTCATGCACAAATCGGCAATGCAGATGCATGCTCGGGAAGCTGTTGTCGCTCATCGCAGCGAGGTGAAACCTCACCAGTGCCAACAGTGTCTCAAATCGTTCTCGTCCAACCACCAACTGGTACAGCACATCCGTGTTCACACGGGAGAGAAGCCCTACAAGTGTTCGTACTGCGACCGTCGCTTCAAGCAACTTAGTCATGTGCAGCAACATACCCGACTTCACACCGGTGAGTACCTGAGGCTTTGCTAAGAAAAGTCTCGAGAATCTTTTATCACAACAGACATTGCTAATAGCTCAAAGACTGAGAAAACGAGGCTTTAATAAATTGGCTATTTGTAGGGACTTGTATTACTCCTATTTAGTACAAGAAACATTGCCAGTAGCTCTGGAACTGTGCACAGTGTAATTTAAAAATAATTAAGAAGCTGAGTAAAGGAGACTTTGATAATCGCTGAGTACAGATTCTTTCATGAGGCATTTGTCTCAGGGAATGACAAGATGATGGCTTAGTAAAGTAAGTTTTGATAAGAGTTTAATATATGAGAATTGTGCGCATGATCCATTGATAAATAATCGGGAGCTTAATAATAGTTCATTGCAGGATATATAGCCCAGATTTTTAAAGGGGGCTTCTATAATTGCCGAGGAACTGAATATTGAAGGTTTTGATAACCGCTGAATATATGAGGCTCTCAGGCTAATACTCACAGCTCAAGAACTGAGAACCAGAGTCTTAAGAAATGTTTCCATATGTCTACTCACTCACTCACTCCCTCACTGATAGAGCTGAGCCCTTCTTGAGAAGATGCCAATTGTGCAGCTACTCAAGACCTTCCCAGCATTTTATAGAACCCGAAGGATCATTACCGTCTTCACAAGAGCCTTCCACTGGTCCCTATTCTGAACCAGATCAATCCAATCCATCCCATCATATCTAAGATCCATTTTAATATTATCCACCCACCTAACTATTGGTCCTCTCAATGTCCCTTTCCTTCTAGCTTTCCCACCAGTGTCGACAGGAATCTTTAATAATTATTGAGTACAGGAGGAATTATTAACAGCTGAGAAAGTGGGTATGCTGTGTGCTGATAATAGTCCAGTAACAGAGCTTCCTGCCTTGGATATAATGGTCGAACAGAGGAAATACAGCTTTAATAGCTCAGTCACTCTGCGCAGGAAGGTTTACAACCACTCAATGCAGACGTGTGAGTACATGATGCTTTGATAACTGTTTGAAGAACTGGGTGCAAGAAGTTGTGTTGTTTACAGGAAGTTTTGATGATGAGCAAGGAACTGAGTTTTATCTTTCAGGTGATGGTGTATAAAATGGATGTTTTTCCCGCTTTCAATAAGTATCACCGTGAAAGTTTATTAGTATAGGAAGGTAATTCTGCTCATTCAGAAAATATTGTCTGAACAACCTTTGTTCCTTAACTTATAATCTGGTCTATGCTGCCGTAAATTATTAATGTACTTCTACCGTAATAATTCCGTTAAAATCTCTATAGTTTTTCTTTCAAGTGACACTGCTTATTTATGTTTATTCCATGGTAATCCTCCCATCCCTTCAGCAAATGCAGAGTACTGCAGTATCGACTATGGCGACTACGTTTTCTGTCTGATGTTTATAAAGATAAGGATGTGCTCCACTAAGAATGTTAGATTTTTACGACAAGGGTTCAGTGGTCACTGAGCTATCTCTCCTTACATGTGGCCTTCACGACAGAAAGAAACTAATCTTCGGCTTCTACGTTTTATGTGTGTATGCGGTCATAAGGCATTTGAATTTTAATTCATCAGCCATTTTATATAAATGAGATTTGTAGCACGATTTTATGTTTTAGAGACTTGTTTGTAAACATTTGCCCATGACCTACCCAAATGTCACATCTAATTGTGAACACTGACCTACACGACTTGCATAACGCCTTAATGTTATACCGCCCAACAATCACAATTGTTTCGCTGGTTATCGGCCTCGTTAACATTATTATATGCTTCTAAGCTGGAAGCTAATATTACTTGTACATTTGTTTTATTTCTTTTGCACAGTGCATTCTGTGTTTGTAAGGAGCTCGAGAATTTATCTTTAGAAAACTTACATTAATATAATCACAAACGCTTTTTACAGGGGCATGAAGCTGACCACTTACCTCCAACAAATTCCGAGGCCTAGAAATATGTGGATCTATACTTACACCCCCCATACGCCTTCATGGAATAGTACTTGATTAGTTAAGCACAAGAACAAATTTATTTTTACAATCCTTTTCTACACAATGGAGTATTTCATTTAAGTAGCAGGTGTTAACAAGCAATGTTACGTGTTAGAGTTCAAATACAACATGAGACTATTTTTTGCTGCTTCTTACGTTAACATTAACCGTGCCATAGCTCAAGCGGTTAGTCGCTTGTTTCCAACCGCGGCGGCTCGGTATAGATCCCGGGTCTGGTCAAGTGGGATTTGTGGTGGACAAAGTGGCGCTGGAGCAGGTTTTCTCCGAGTACTTCGGTTTCCCCTGCCAATCTTCATTCCACAAATTGCTTCACAATCACCTTCACCTATCATCTGGGGCTGGTACAAAAAGCCAGAAGTAGCCGCAGTACAAGGGACTTAGTCCCACCCCACCAAGTAATAAAAAAATACGTTAATATAAGAAAATTTGTGACTTGTTTTGTACCATACGGAAACTTGATCTCTTGTTGAGGGAGTAAGGAAAGTTGATGGCAAGTACACTGAAAACAAAATGGTGAGCATATTTGGACTCGGAGAAGATTCTGTAAAAGAGCAATCGAAAAATATAATCAGTGGGCAAGTGCATAACTTTTATCCACTTGTATGTGTTATAATGATGTTATTAATATGACAGACATTTCCCAGATACAAGCTCTAAAAATAGGCAAGAGAAAATATTTTAATCGTGAATCGGCAAGAAACCAAGATAAAGGTTTTAAATATTTTTTTACAGAACGATATTAATATTTGAACTAAATTGAATTAACTGTACTGTCTTCTGGGAAATAACGCCATGTAATCCATTGAAAGTCAGGCGACTCTTCGGAGGAACATAACGCCTCCATCATCAGGGTCGAATTCGCCTAGGAAAATACCAGCTTGAAAGCAGATGTCAAACCGAGCTTTCACGCTGGTCTTTTTCTCTGCTTATTCGGCCCTGAAAATAGAGGTGATATGTTCATCCTAAACGTCGGTTGACTTTCAACACACTACATGTATATCCCAGAAGACAGAGTTCTTCAAAACCACCACCGTGAGAAACCCAAATCCTACATGGATTAAATTAGTTCGGGTTGGTTTCTGATGGCAGAAATTTTAGATTCCATATGAGCGATGACCTTCTAGAACAATGAACTATTGAAGAATTGAAACGGCACTGCACAAAGTAATTTTATATGATTATATTTCTGTACAGTGCATCTTTATGAAATGTATTAGTATTAAAACACTCCGCCTCATTTAGAATCGCAAATAGAGAGGGTCTACATTTTTCTCGAAAAATCAGAATAGGTACTCGTACCAGTATGTCTGTCACTTGAAGTACAGTTTTTATAACGCGATTTTTTGTGGCTGAGTCAGAATGTTTTTCTCTGCCGTTCGCTTGACCTCACTTCGCGAAACATTCTTTTGACTGTTGAAATTAATCGTTTCTTTATTCATTACAATTCCAAAGGGTCTGTCTGAAGGAAAGAAAAGGAGGAAACTGTTGAAAAATTATAAGGCAAAGAAATTATTCTAAGTAAAAGGAGAAGAAAAGTTTTAAAATTCATTTTAATGTGGATCATTGCTCCCACTTTTCTGATTCCCCTTCTTTCCTATGTTTGGGCTATCCTCTCGGTGGCCTTTTTCCCGCCCACAGTGATTCCATGCACAAGAAAGTCAGATTTTCAACATATCTTAAACTTTTCATTCCACATATTTTATCATCCAGTATTTTATCTCATAATTCAAGAAATTATGGACTGTGTGGTTGGAAGGTATAATATTCCGTAAGAGTTCACTGGTATTCACGAAATCCAGTCACGCCCATCATACGGTCAAATAACACTTTAACCCTGGGGTCAGTGGTTCGAATGCCGCTTTAGTCATGGCCGTTTCCCCTCGTTTGTTTGTTTTGATTTGTGTTGTAAGTTGCCTTACGGTCGTTCAAGGAGGCCTACTAGAGCTCTAAGGTCAAGAAAATACCTCTTAGATTATGCAGTGATGCTGATTCCACTGCAGAATTTGCCTTATAGCGTTAAATTGGTTAGGAATATGGAAATGAATGATGAAATTTGAAAGTAGGGAGTCAAGGCCTGTAAGAAGGTATTTTCCCTGCATTTGTAGGAGGAAGGAAATATGGAAATCTTCAGTGATTATAGCAGATAACCCGGCCGAGTTTCGAATCTGGTACCTCTGGAATAAAGTATCGAACCTTAGCCTTATAGAAGTATCTTAACAAGCATAATATAAGTAGGTGGGCAGGAAAACTATGTTGCATCAAAGGACTAGTTGAGTGTGATTGAGTTTATTTATTTTTTAATTATGTCTCCTGTGTACCTATGGAAACCATTTGACTTCGAATTTGGCATGTGGCGCATGGGCAATTGAGAGTGGAGGGTCGTGATGCAGGAAATTTCTAATCTGTTACAAGGAATTGTACTGACACTTTACCGAGAAAGCCACGTGCACTCTGGCTCGGGTTCATTTGTGCTCTGATCAAGATTCGAATCTATGTAATGCAAGTCAGGCACCTAACTGCTTTCTAATCTAATAAACCATATGAATTCGAAGTGATTAATTATATTTCTTTCTTCTTCATGAAGAAAATTGTTGTCTACGAGGTAAGATAGGCTATAGGGCCGTGCCAAGGCTCAGGCTGATAGTCGCCGGTTTCACACCGCGGCGGTTCGGGTTCGAGCCCGGTTTAGGTCATGTAGGATTTGTGGTAGATAAAGCGGCACTGGGGTAGGTTTTATCTTCAAGTACTTCGGTATCGTCTGCCAATTCTCATTCCACGGATTGCTCCACAAAGATCTGTCATCAGGTACAATAGTTCAAACAGTGGCCGCAGTGCCATGAGAGAGAAAAAAAGTTTGGTTTTACTGTAGCTCAAGCGGTTAGTCCAGCTTCAGTTCGAGCCCACTTCATGAGGAATTTATAGAGGTCAGAGCGACGTCAAAGCAGATTTTCTTTTTCGGGTATCAAACAACAACAAACTCCGTGGC